TGCCGAAGGTGAATATTGTTGTACGTATCTTGATGATGATGGCCTTGAATGTGGCCGACGTTTTATTTCTAGGCGCGCCCTGCTAGTCCACCAGAGGCAAGCAACTGGTGGTCAACATGGAATCCCGTCCACCATATCCAAGCTCGTTCTCACCAACCAATGTGTTGCCTGCCTGTCGACGTTCAGATGCCGTGATACGGCGGTCAGACATCTTGTGAATTCTTATCGGTTTGGTCGGTGCAGGGTGGACTCGTCGAAGTTCAACCCACCCGTGCAAGATCCTGAGGATAGGTCATGCCCAGTATGCCTGCAGCCTTTTCGGTCTTTTGAGGAGCTTCAGTTTCACCTACGCGATCATCTTCCCATCCCGCTTCCAGAGTTTGTTTGGCATGTGGTCGGCGCTCCCTGTGGCAGCCCCAGCTGCCGCGTCGGCGGCCCCCACCGTGAGGCGCAAGGTCGAAGGAGGAGGAGGTGGAGGCGGACGGACGAAGAAGGGAACACAGACAAAATCCAATCGGACGGTGTCGAAGGAGGAGATTGCGGAGCTAGAAGAGTACGACGTAAATCAAATAAAAAAGATCGTGCCAGTGCTCATGAAATTGATGATGAACGTGACCATGCGTACAAGACAAGTAGAGGCTATTACTTTGATCACGATGACGATGGCCGAGAACACAGAACCCATCCTGCAGGGACGAGGGAGAGTGAAGGCGTGGGTGGAGGCGGCTCAGGACTTGAGGTCGAGGGGGAAAGAGGCGGAGGTGTCCAAGCTGGGGTCCATCTCGGTGGCGTGTCTAGTAGGGATAGCGGAGGGATGCGAGGAGGTCGGTGTTGCTGTGGGCCAGATGAACCTGCAGCGCCTGAACGAATGGAAAGAAATGAACAACAAGTTGTCACTACCAGAGGTTGTGGCCAAGTATCCCTTTGTGAAAATAGCGACGGCCTTCAAAGAGGGGGAGGCAGAAGTGATGATGCCGAGGATCGAAGACGTCAAACCATTGATCGCCTGTTGCGAGCAGCTCGGGGCACTGGTCCGAGAGGGAGTTGCCCCAATGGGCCACCTGGAGAGAATCCTGCAGACGTTCATGGCAGGCGAGGACATGGATATCTAAATGAACATAGTGCTGACGGTGATGTTGGGATTAATGACAGAATGGCGGTGTCAAATGACATGTGGGTGCCAGATACTGTTGATGAGAATTATCGTGAGTCATCACCGTCGACGATTTCGTTGCGAATTCGAACTTCACGATGTGTGAAGACCCAGAGTGCGAGTTTATCGACTACGAGTGTGTCGACCGCGACTGGCGTGTCACGGATGTCGGCCTCGAGGACAGCTACGACCTGTTATGAGGCCCGCTCCGCTGCTGCCTGCCAGGCCGTGGTTTCCCCCCTTGTCCTCTGTCTCCCTCTGAGCCCTCGTCTCCGACTCCTCTTCCTCCTCCTACCAAGCGTGCTAGAGGTGCTGCAATTCGAAGTTTTCGGGACTCTGGATTCGGCGAATCTTTGTCTGGAGCTGCGGCTCGCTTGTTAGGTTTCCAAGGGTAAGTTTTGTAGCGTGTTTAGGGTTCTGATACCCTGGAAACTCAGGGCGGACGGTGGTCCGAACATCGCGGCTGGTAAGTCGGTCCTAGGGCTCTCTGATGCTGTCACCATCTGGATCAATGCCCCGATAGGAGTCTGATCTGATCCCCCCCTCCTTCCTCCGAGCCGCCGACGAGGCGCCGAGGCCAAACATCGTGCTCGTCCTGTGCGACCAGCTGCGGTGGGACGCCGTCGGCTACGCCGCGCCCGGCAGCCGGGCCGCGCGCACGCCCGCCCTGGACCGCCTGGCGGCCGAGGGCCTCTCGGTGCAGTACGCGTGGTCGTCCACGCCGACGTGCACGCCGGCCCGCGCCGCGCTGCTGACGGGCTTGTCGCCCTGGCGCCACGGCATGCTGGGGCGCCCGGCGTCGCAGCAAGAGCGGCAGCAGGCAGCAGTCGCCACGGGAGACTCTGGGCCGTCCGTGGGCCTCCGGGGAGGGCCCTTGCCGGGCCCCGCGAGGACCGTCACAGAGCGGCTCGGGAGGAAGAGCCGCCCCTCTGGGGACGGGGGTCGGGGCTTCTGGGGACCCGCGCGGAACAAGACAGAGCGTCGCATGCCTGGGAGCGGGTCCTGATGGACACCATGCCAGCCACAACTGGGGGAGCTGTGGTCCTTCCCCCCCTGGGGGACCCATCGATTTCGACACCCCCCTCAAGGGATCGTCGATGCGATGTCGGGACACGGGTCCTGTCGTGGACAGGATCACGACCGCAAAATTGTCTTCGCAACCGCCACCGCGCACAGTATGATGGTCATTCTCGGGGTCAGGTTCGCCAGCGCAAACCCTTCAAACGCACTAGGCCTCGGGAAACGGCCTGCACGCCTTGGTTTGTATATGCGCGGCTCCCGTCCTGAGGCTTTCGTGGCCGTTTTGGGCCTCCTGCGGCCATGCACTAGTTCCAGGGATTGCCAGACCACGACCCAGCACGAAGCACTGGCCCTGGAGTGGTGCCCCAGGGTCTAGGACGCGTTTCCCCTGGTACCCGTTGCGCTCGTGGCAAGGTACGGCTCCGTGGCTGCGCGGTACGAAGCCGAGCTTCCCCGAGCGTTGGCCGCCGCGGGGTACCTCACTGCAGCGATAGGCAAGAATCACTTCGGCTGGGACCCGGAAGCTGACAGGGGCGTCTCCCACGGCTTCCACACGACGTCCCTGTACGACGGGCTGGGCGCGTGGGACGCTGCATCACCGCACTCGTGGAAGGGCGAGTGGGATGACTACGACCGCTGGTTCGCGCGACAGAAGCCCGGCAGTGACCCTCAGGCAACCCTGGACGATGTTGATGGCGACGGATGGAACACGTGGCAGGCGCGCCGGTACATCTACGACGAGGCTCTTCACCCAACGGCCTGGGTCGGGCAGCAGGCCGTGCGGTTCATCCAGGAGCAGCCGGTCAGCCCCAGCGCGGGGAGGCCGTTCTTCCTCAAGGTGTCCTTCCACAGGCCTCAGGGTCAACGGGAGGATGGGCTAAGGTCGAAGAATAACAAACTGCATTGACATAAACTTTTGGAGGTTCGCGTCGCTGGGCCCCGCGCCGGGGAGGGGGGTCCAGCGCAGGTCCCAGAAATCCGCGCGGACCTCCAACAGTTCTGGTTATGCCGTGCTCTATTCCTCTACAAGGGGGGGTCACCACCCACCATACCACCCGATCCCAACCCGAAGGCCCCAATTTGCCCTCCATTCCTAGTGGGGGCGGCGTCGGGGAACATTGAAAAACACATGTGGAGCAGGAAGCCCCCCAAGATCCGAAATTTGGGTGTTCGGGTTAGGTTGGGTGGTCTGGTAGGTAATTAGTGAGGGGAACGCCTCGACCCCTAATCGCCCATGGATCGCCGATAGTGGCCCGATATAGCCCGCCACGCCCATCGTTGTGCGGGTTCGCCATGGGAGGTCGGCCGCGATCTATCAGAGGTGCATCGCCGATTCCAGGTCGATGTTTTCACCGCCGAGCCAGCCCCCCGTTACAGTCGGACCGAGGTATAAGGTCGAGTTCGGTTCGGGGAGGGAATCCTAATGTTCTTCACGTTTGTTGGATATCATGGTGCATCTTGGGGGAGTGTACCCTCGAGTGTAATCCAATTTTGCCGACGGATGGTCTCATGTTCTTGAAGGATGTGTTTCTGTCCCAGGTCTGGCTGTAGCGTTTCGGGCCCGGAGCGCGGGTTGGCCGACGCTTTTGGACGGACCCGTTCTGCACTTGTGACGGTACGGTGTTCGTGGGATGCTTGCAGCGCTAATTTTCTTGAAATTTCAGATTGGGGCTCGTTGTTCTCTTGAGGACCCCGCCTGGCCAACCCGATTCCCCCGAACCTGGGTCCCGGACCCCCGTCGTCATGATGGTTTCAGACCGTCGACCCCCAGAGGTCTCGACCCTTTCCCCAGGACCTTTTTTTCATCCTGAGTCGTTCTTTGATGGTCCCGAGGCCAAGTGAGGGCCCCCAGAGGCCGAAAACAGTGAACAACCTCCCGCCGTGATTTCTTCATGACCCGAGGGTTTTTTTGGTTGCTGGCAATATTTGTATCCATATCCACTGCGTCTTGGAGAATCGGACTCCTTTCCCTAGTGACCCGAGGCGTGGTGGATATGGATAGAAAGCTGTCCCCCGAGAGGCTAGGTTTTCATCCATGCCCACTGCGCCTCGACCTGTTTGCGCCCATTCCCAGAAAGTCCAAGACGCCGTAGACATGGATTTGAAGATTGCCCGCACTTCACGATCGTCGCCCCGCGAGGCCCCACTCGCCCTACGATCCACCGCAGAGGCTGCTCGACGCAGTGCGGGCGGAAGAGCTGCGGCCTGTGCGGCTGTGTCCGGGCGCTGAGGCGTCCCGGATCGCGCCCGCAGGCGGCGAGGATTGGTGCTTGCAGTTCCGGTCAGCACCGTCCAACCTTGGACAGGCAGGGCGCCTAGGGGGGAAGTGGTAGGGGCCAGATGGGCCGCGATAAATGGGGGGGCGACAACTTGGGGGGCAGCGGGGGCTGCAGAAGAGGAGTCCTTTGGGGCCCCTAGAGGGGCCCTTCAGGGCTCCCCCCAATTATCGCTCTCCGATTAATTGGCGCCCAAAGTCAGGCCTCCAGGCCTCCCAAATAGGGTCCGAGCAGATGAGCCTCGGAGGATCGCGCCGCATCGGCGATGCATCGGCGATGCATCGACGAAGCTTCTCCGATCTTCTCCACGCCGGCAGCGCCAGTGCACCAGGCGATGCGGCGCGATCCTCCGACCCCAGCTATTCGGCCCACAGCGAGGAGGCCTCCAAGGCCTTGTCAGAAGGCAGCGGGGCCTCTCAGAAGCCCTCTCTGCGAAGCCCTCTGCCAGAAGGCAGGGAGGCGTTCCGAGCCCTCTGAGGAGGCCCGCCCCCGATCACTTCCTCTCTGGACTCGCCGCCCAGCCTTGGATCTGGCGGGGGGCCTGCGGTGGCCCAGCACTGGTTCCGACCTGCAGGCAGAGGGGGGGCGAGGTTCGAGGCTCCGGGTTCGAGGGAGGGGTCCGGGGAGCGATTTGGAACGGATGGCCCCTCCTCCCCCTGCCGATTTTCTCGGGGCCGAACCAGCGCAGACCCCCTTGCAGCCTCCAGGGCTAAACTCTCCCCGCTCCCACCAGGCCGTGGTACTCTGAGCCCCACCGGGGCCACCCTCCAGCCTAGACTTGAGTCGGGCACGTCCCTCTACAGGAGGAGTACTCGAAAAGAGCAAAAAGGTATACTTCTTGATTTTTGTTGAATCTGTTTTTGACTTTTTTTAGTGTTCCGCCAGAGCTCCGGCTGTAGGAGGACATGCCCGACCTAAGAGGCCCGAAGGAGCAGGCATGCTTCCCCGCCTGGGTGGGTCAAAGTCGGCCACCGTGGGGCCCATAGGCCACGCCAGTGGGGGTCACATCGAGCGCGATCCACCACTCGCAGCCCAGAGATCCAAAGTATTGACAAAATCGAGACGGAGGCTTTTCGCAAGGTTCGGCCCCTATGGGCCCTCGCCGGGCCTCGGGACCGTAAAAGAACGACTCAGGATGAAAAAACGGTTCTGGGGAATGGGTCGAGGCTTCCGGGGACCCCGTATGGAAACAAAACCCGACATCGGATCTCAGGGAACGTGCCTAGCCTACTCGCAAACGTCCGGCAAACACATGTCTGCATCGATGCCATGTATCGTAGATCCCCCATTGCGGGTCCAGACCATTTGCGAGTAGTTTTTGCTGCGAGTCGCGGAACGCGCTCGTCTGGGGGGTAGGGGCCAGGGATCGGTTGGATGATGCCCATCAGGGGGGCGCCGGGAGACCCGCCCGGCTGCGGTCCGAGCAGCCCCGACGCGTGGTGCGGCATGATGCCCGAGAACGAGACGACCTTGAGCAGGCGGGCTTACGCTGCCAACGTCAACTCTCGACGCTTCGCGCAGCCTCACCCGCCCATGCAGGAACGCGGTGCCCTCGGCGAGTTGCCTCGCTCGGTTCGGCTAAGGCGCAGGTACGTGCAGCGGAAGGAAGACGGGGGAGGGGCCGTCATACCGAAGCCTGGGGTCAGCTTGAGCAGACCCAAGAGTGAGCCACACATGCTTTCGCGGCCCCGTCCAAGGGAGAAGAGTATCAGGATGCCGAGGGAAAAGACATGTCGAGGAGGCGGGAGGAGGGCGGGGAGGGAGGAGCGAGGAGGACGGGGAGGTGCAGAGGGAACATGAGCTGTTTGGTGGTGAATGTTTCCACTCAACTTCTGGTGAACCCGAAGTGGGAGGAGGAGGGTGAGGATGAAGGCGAGGAGGATGAGGAGGAGAAATAGCTTGAGCGGGACAAGCAGGACGCGGTTGGAGGAGGAGGAGGACAATAAAAATGATGAAGAAGGTGTGGATAAGGACGTGGATGATGAGGAAGGAGGAGGAAGAGGAGGAGACGGTTCGGGAAAAAGAATAAGGCGACGGCGGCGAAAACGACGACGATTTCAACAACCGTAAAGTCCTTTGCTGATGCAACCTTTCGCGCGGGGATTCTCTTGAAGCCATCTTGGAGCCCTCTTGGTTCGGGTCAGTGTGGCTGCCTTTGTGGCTTGTGAGGCCCTCTTCGGGTGTCGCTCGGGTCCTCTTGGGGCCATCTTGGAGGACGTCACTCAAAAAAGGAGCCGGCGCCGATTAGTTACTGCGCTACTTTTGGGCCCGATACGTCGCCTCTGTGGACACTCTTGGGCGCTCTTGGTCGCTCTCGGGGCCGTCTTGGAGCCCTTTGGACTTTGGACGACTTCTTGGGGCATCTTGGTGCCATCTTGAGGCCTAAGAAGCCCACTGGAAGAGAACAGACAATATTTCAGCAACCATGTGATTTCTCGAAGTCCCCTGAAGAAGCTTGTCTGTATGGCTTCTATAGTGGTGTTTCGTCGGAAGGGCCAGAAGGTCCGTGGCATGCCCCGGAATCGTTGACTTGACGGTATCCAGTATTGTTTCCCCCCCATTGGTCTCCCGTACGTGCAGTCTCCCGTATTCCTCCTCCTCCTCCGCCTCCTCCTCCTCTTCCTCCACCTCCTCCTCCTCCTCCTCCTCCTCCTCCTCCTCCTCCTCCTCCCCCTGCCTCCTCTCCTCGTCCTCCTCCTCCTCCTCCTCCTCCTCCTCCTCCTCCTCCTCCTCCTCCTCTATGGCTTTCCATGCGGTCTCTGATTTGGTCTCCCGCGGTCGTCTCCCGCACGGGTTCCTCCTTTGGTCTCCCGTAGGGTATCTCGTGTTCTCTCCCGCATGGTCTCCCGTCTGGTCTCTTTCATCTGGTCTCTCGCCTGGTCTTCCATCCGGTCTCCTGTACGCTCCCCCTCTGCTTTCCCGTGTGCCTTCCCGTGCGTGCAGTGCAGTAGAACATTGTGTCTTTATCGTCCCATCATGCCCAGTGAGGGCTTGCACTGAAGGGGTCCTAGCGGGTATTGAAAGTTTTTGCGAACAGTTCCTGCCGATTTTGGCAGCCGGCTGAGTTCCCGGGTTCCCGGTTCCGGGTTCCCAGGCTTCTGGTTATTGGTTCCAGGCCGATTTCGGCGGGTTCCGGGTTCCCGGGTTCTCGGGTTCCCGGTCGATCTCCGCGTCCTTGCCATTCGGAGCCTCGGAAGTCATCTTGAGCCGTGCTCTCTTGTGGCATCCTGGAGGCCATCTGGGGCTCTTTGGGAACATCTTGGAGCCATCTTGGGCCATACTGGACGCTCGGCCACCGCAGGGGCAGAGGGGGTTGGAAGACGAGGCCCCCGAGGCCACCTCCGCCCAGAGGGCCCGGTGGATTTCGTGGACGAGTGGGTTGGCCACATCCTGACGGCCCTGGAGGAGAGGCGCCTGCTCGAGCGGACGTGGATCCTCTTCACCTCGGATCACGGGGATGGGCAGGGGGACATGTTCCACTGGCGCAAGGGGTACCCGTACGAGTTCTCCGCCCACGTGCCGATGGTGCTGCGCTGGCCCCAGGAGTGGGCCTCCAGGCAGCCCCCAGAGTCGCTGCGGGTGGCGCGCGGCAGCGTGGTGGCGCCACCGCTTGTCGCGGAGCTGAGGGACGTCTTCCACACCCTTGCGGATGCCGCGGGCATATCCAGGAACTCGAGCCTCATGCCGCCTCAGCTCTTCCACGAAACGGACGGGCGCTCCCTGCTCTGTTTGCTGCGCGACCCCACGGGCTCGAGGCACTGCGATTATCCGCCCAACCCGGGCCGCTGGCGCCGGTGGATCGACATGGAGCACAGCACGGTCTACAATGTCAGCAACCACTGGTCGGCGCTGACCGACGGGATGTCGAAGTACGTGTACATCGCTGGTACTGGAGATGAGCAGCTGTTCAACCTGTCGGAGGACCCGTACGAGGGCGTGGACCTGTCCAAGTCGGCACACCACCAGGCCGAGCTCGCTCTCTGGCGCGGCCGCTTGGCCTCGCAGTTCGAGGCCGAGAATCGCGGCGGCGCGTGGGTGAAGGGCGGCGCGCTCGTGCGGCGCGCGCAGGGCACCACCTACTCGCCGAACTACCCTGGGCAGCACTCGTCGTCGGGCGAGGCCGCCAGGACTGCCGACCAGACGGTGCTGGTCTGACAGCCCGGTCAGGGAGCGCGGCGCTGGACTCGGGCGTTGCTCGCGAGAGGCGGGAGGCCAGCCTGCGACGTCGAGTGGGAGGGAGTGGAGGAGGGCCAGAGTCTCTCGGGGAGCAGCCGAATGCCTCAGAACGCATTCCTGCCGCCTTTTGCCACGCAGTGCGCACGCGCACCTGTGAAGCGTTGCGGTCGTCCCTTTCCTCGCCCTCCTGCTTGTCAAAGCAATGCGGAGGAGGCCTGTGCCACGATCCAGAAGCGTTCAGGCACTCACGAGCGGCGCCGCTCGAGCGGCGCTGCCAGTTTGCCTGGCGACCTCATGGTCTGGTCTGCACTGCGGTGGCAGTCGAGATTCCGTGGTCGTGCTCTCCCCTCCTCCCCCCAAGGAAAAAAGCATGAGCTCTCTAAGTTACCTGCGTCCAGAGGGTTTGCGTGTAGCGTGAACGAGGGATGACGAGGGGGAGGGGCGAGGAGGACAAGCTGGGTGCGCTCGCGCCGTATCTGACATCCCGCTGATGTTGTCTCCATCCGCCGATGAGTTTCACAGCCGACCTGGAACCCCCCTAAGGACTGTTTTTTTGGTGTCACGGGCAATTGCACATGGGGCGCTGCGTACATTGGAGGAGGTGGCGTATGAACAGGAGGGTGAGCAGGATGAAGAGGAGGATCAGGAATGAGGAGGAGGACTTGCAGGACCAGCAGCAGCACCAGCAGGAGTGGGCGCAATGTGAGGAGCATCATGACCAGCGGAAGGTGGGGGAGGTGAATGGGGCGGGGCGACAACGATAAGGAAGCACTCGGATCCACAAAAATTGCTCGCGCTGGGGCGAGAGCGCCATTCTGACCGAGGGAGCAAAGCGCCGATCCTAAAATGAGGCGAACGCTGCAGCGGCAACACCATTTGTAGACTCCGAAAACGCTCCAATTTGAACAACGAACATTGCAAAGACCCTCTAATGAAGTCCTGTGTGTGAGAAATACGCGGGGAGAGCGTGACATCTTCCGGACAGAGCGAGGGCAGAGAGGATAATAGTATTCAAATGGAGTAGTAATTGTGGAGGCGGACAATCAAATCGGGTTGAGCGAAAATGGCGTCCAGCGACAAGGGGGTGGTACAATATATTTGGTGCAACAGGATTTTGGGTGTTTGCAATACATTTGGGGCGTGACATTCCGGGGCGCAAATGTCTTGCTGGAGTTTCGCGCGCGATGCATCGCGCGCAATACAATACAATACAGCTATCTGGTGCAAGACGTTTGCAATCCAACTGCCCCAAATCTATTGCACCACCCCCTTTCAGCTAGACTCCCTTTTGGGTCACCCATATTAAAGGGGGGAGAGGAGGAGCAGAGCAAGGCCAGGATAGGGGATGATGCGCACGTTTCGGATGTGGACGGGTGGGTTTACACGCGGAGGTGGGACCCCCACGCAAAGCTTCCGATCCCGCGCCCCCCCCCCCCCCCGAAGCCTCCCAAGGACGACCAACCGATGATCTGACACCCGCTGCCCCCTTCCGTTCGGGTGGCGATCTCGCCTCCCAGACCCCCGACGTCATGATCTTTGAGTTCTTCACCGCGTCGACCCCCAGAGGTGTCGACCCATTCCACGGGACCAGCTTTTACACATCCCGAGTCCTTTTTGTGGACGGTCCCAGCGCCCGGTGAGGCCTCCCGGAGGTCGAACACGGCGAAAGGCCTCCCGTCGCGATTGTCTCTTGATGCGAGGGGGGTCTCGCCTCGGTCGTGCCCAGCGCGGCTGCTGGGCGGCCTCCGCCCGGCCAGCGGCCTCTGGTCGGCGGCGAGCGAGGGGGCGGAATGAGAAGGAGAAGGCTTGCTCAGGAGGCGGCGGGGCCTCTGAGAAGCCCTCGCGCCTTCTGAGAGGGGTTTGTTTCTGTCTTCGGGGAAGGCTGAGGAAACTTCTCGGGAGGCCGGGGGAACTTCGGAACCTTCTGAGAAGGCCGTCTTCTTCCCACTTCCCTCGCTCGCTCGCCGCCGATCTGGACCCGCGTGTCTCACAGGAGGAGGAGGAGGAGGAGGAGGAGGAGGAAGAGAAGGAGGAGGAGGAAGAGGAGGAGGAGGATGAGCAGGAGGAGGAGGAGGAGAAGGATGAAGAGGATCGGGCGGGGCTAGGACGAGGATATATCCGTTCCAGAGCGGTCTGGAACGCCCTGAGAAGGCCGCGGCGCCCGAGACATCTTCCAGAGCCGCTGGATCTCACATATTCTCGATTGACCGTCCGGATTTATCCTCGTCCTGGATTCGTCTTGGAGGGGGATGAATACCGAGGGGCGAGGTAGAGCGGCCGCGAAGAAAACCTGGCCGCCCCGAGTTTGCTATAGAGCCGCCCCCCCCCCCCACCCCCGCGGGGATGCCGACCAGCAGGACTCCCCGGAGAGGCCTCCTCCAGGCCTCCCAGATAGGGTCGGAGCAGATGGGGTCGGAGGGTCGCACCGCATCGCCGATGCATTGCCGACGCATCGGCGATAGGATCGATAGGGAGCCCCGACCTGCTCCACGCCGGCTTCGCCGATGCACCGCCGACGTCGCCGGTGCATCGCCAGTGCGTCGGCGGCGCGTCAGCGATGAGGGGGCGGTCCTCCGACACCATCTGCTCGGACCCCATCTGCCGGTGGGCCTCTCTGCCGTCCCCCTGGCCTTTCCCATTCTCTTTCGACCTCCCCCCTGTCGCAATTACATGTGAGTCGTGCCTGTCCCTCTACAGGGGGAATGTTCAAAATTTGTCGAACAATAGTCTGGGGGCGAGTTTCTGAATCTATTTTTCTGCATGATTCTTGACTATGTTTAAGTGTTCGTCCAGATTCCCCCCTGTAGGGGGACATGCCCGACCTGAAATTACACTTGCGGTCGGGAAGTTTTGGGCAGCGTGTCGCCCCGCCAGTCTGGGCCCGCCCCGCTCTGGAGGGACGCGCTGCCCACTCCGCGGTCCCGAGGCGCCAGTGTCCCGAGCATGTCCCGGCCCTCCGCCCCGCGAGGCGAACCCCTGGGCAGGAAGGGTGTCTTGATCCCTCCCCCTGGGGTTAGAGCGTCTGAGAAGGCCTCAGGGAGAAAGCAGCAATGGTTAGTTTCGTTAGGTGTTGGGCCAAGTTTGGCCTTCTGGGGGGCGAGGCTAACTAACTCAACTCGCTGGCCTCCAAGATGCCCCCAAGAGAGCCGCCAGGCAGCCCCAAGGAGCCCCCAAGAGGCCTCTGCGAAGCCTCCAAGAGACACCCTCAAACGAGACCCGGGGCATGTCCTTTCCTCTCACGAGGCATGGCGTGGCGCCAGGGCCGCCGGGGCGACACGCTGTCCGACCATTCCTGGCCGTATGAATACTACCGGGGACCCGGGCAAGAAGCAGTGGGGTTCAGGAGAAAGGCAACGGGGGGAGCTCTGGCGGCCCTGCTGGTCGTGTTCAGGAAGATCGTTTTCACCAGCGCTCGAGCTTTGGCCGAGGTTTCTGGCGCTTGCTACACTTCCTACATGGTGTCTGCAGCAGTTCCATTCGTCGAGGTGTTGAAGGAAACAGGACGTTCATACGCGGAGAGCCGCAAGGACCATGGCAAAAATCACAAGAAAGGGCCAGCGCGGCCGCATGCTTCCGTGGTGTTCATACGCTGGGCATTGGCGGAGTGGATTCGACCTCCGTCCCTGCGGAAGCCAAGATGTGCTTGGTGACCTAGCAGGAGATATTGGCCATGGGGCCTGGCGCGTTGTCCCCACCACAGCATCATTGCAGGCATTTCTGCGTCAAGGGCAGCTGGCACGACAAGAAGAAGGGGCTGACGCAGCCCGCGAGGTACAAATTCCAGGTCACGCTCGGAGTTCCTCAGCAGAGTACGGCGCTCGAGGCCGCCCGCGGGCATGACGCTCATGGAATCCATCAGCACGGCCATCGCTGCGGAGAGCGCTGTGCGTGGCCGAAAGCTCTCTGGCGCAGGGGCGTTTGGTGAGGGTCCACGCGGACTGGCCGTGGTCCCTCACCATGGTCCCTCGCCGTGGTCCCTCGCCGTGGTCCCTCTCCCTCGTCGAGGCTGCGGGACCACCCAGACGTCTCCGACGCCTCGGTGGTCCCTCGCCGTGGTCCCTCGTGGGGGCTGCTGGGGCGGATTTTGTTCGATGTTCGAGTCTCGCCTCGCAGCTCGGCCACAGATTCCCTCCCGCAGGGCCCGATCAAGAGTAAGCATGCCCGCTCTGTGGTTCACGAACGCCCGCTCCGCCTTCTTCCAATGCGGGGCTTCTCTGGCGCTGTTGTGCTCGCCTCTGCTCTCCTCCTCCTCCTCCTCCTCCTCCTCCTCCTCCATGTCCGCGTCCTCCTCCTCCTCCTCCTCCTCCTGCTCCTCCTCCTCCTCCTCTTCCTCCTTCTACTCCTCCTCATCCCCAGCACCATCCTCATCCTCATCCTCATCCTCCCGTCCCTGCCTCTGTTTGCCCCACCCGCTCCCCCACCCGTCACTGCGCAGCGGGGCCCAGACAGGACTCCCTGGACAGATTCCACACCGGCCTGCCGGCCTGGGTCCAGTCCTCCCTGGACACGCTCGTGTATGCGGAGCCCGCCTGGCCGCCGGAGGCCGCAGACGCCGCCGCACCACAGGATTACCCCTCGCCCCATCGTCGTTCTTGTCATTGTTGCCATCATCGTTACTGTCGTAGTTGTTGTTGTCGTTCTTGTCCTCGTTGTTTCTGTCGTCGGCGTTGTTCTTGTCGTCGTCGTCGTCGTCGTCGTCGTCGTCGTCGTCGTCGTTGTCGTTTTTGTCGTCGGCGTCGTTGTCGTCGCCCTCGCCTTCGCCCGTACCGTCGCCGTCGCCGTCTTCCTCCTGTTGCCCGTCCTCCTGTCTTCTCCGTCGTCGGCCTCCTCTTCGACTGTCCACCGGGTGGCGCCCGCCCGCCTCGTCGGCGAGAGGAGGCGGAGAGGGGGGCGTTCTCAGTCCGCCAAGGCCTTCCTGCGCTGCGCGGTGGCCCGCAGGCCGCGGGCACGGTCAAGACCCCGAACCAGTGAACAGTTTGGGCCAGGAAGGGGCGCGCCTGTTTGTTCCCTGGGGTCCATCCATGGCCGCTCTGCTGGCGTTCCTCGCGCACCTCGGCACCTGGGGTGGCCCGAGAAGGGGCTTCGCTCCTGGTTCGGCACTCCTTCTGGCGGTGGCCTGGCTGTCAGAGAACGGCCTGGCCACGGCCCCCCCCTCGAAGTGTGCCAGGCGGCCCCGAGAACGTGGGCCACCCGCCCTCGGCAGAGGAGGGCCCTCGGGGGCCGGCGGGGGGTGCGAGAACCCGCCGTACCTCCGCCGCTGGGCCCGCGAGCGGAGGGCAGCTCCCAGGGGCAGCGTCGGCCTGCCGCGCGCAGAGGGGGGCCGGGGGGGGAGGGGGAGGGCTTCTGAGAAGCACCCCTGCTTCTCAGAAGGCGCGGGCCTCGTCTGCAGACACGCGGCTGGCGCCTGCTAGGAAGCCGCCTCCTTCTGCGAAGCCCGCCGCCCTCCCTCCACCCCCTTGTGCGCGCCGCCAAGCCAGGGTGAAGTCGGGCGTGCCCCTCTACAGGAGGAATGTTCGAAGACGTCGCAAAAAATAGTCTGGGGACTACGTTTTGATTATATATTGACTATATGTGGGATTAGTTTCGGTGCATTTTCGCTTTTGGATTTTTTCGTAGACGATCCGCCTGTAGGAGGACATGCCCGACCCAAAGTTCTGTTGGGGGGGTAGGCTCAGGGGGGGGGCACGCTTCGGCCTCCCGTGGCCCATCGATCGCCCATCCGCGGGGCCCGGCAGCCCAGCGCCCGCCCAGGAGCGCGCGGAGCTGTCGCCGGGGGCTCGTGCGTTTGGATTTCTCGGCGGCGTAGCGCCCATCTTCCACAGGGGGCAGACGCCTCGACACCCCATCGTTCACCGATCGCCGATATAACCGCAGGAGGTCTCTGGTGTTGATCCCCCCCGGCCTTTCATACTCGGCGGTGAATAGGACTGGTCCTAAAACCTCCTCCTCCTGCTCCTTCTCCTCCCCCCTCTCCCCCTCCTCCTTCTCCTCCTCCTGCTCCTCCTCCTCCTGCTCCCCTCCTCCTCATCATCATTATCATCATCAGCATCATCGTCGTCATCATCATCATCATCATCATCATCACCATCATCATCAGCATCATCATCATCATCATCATTAATTCTTCCTCCCCCTCCCTCCTCCCCCTCTTTTACTCCTCCTTCCCTCTTCCTTATCCTCCAGAGCGCTCCTGAGTCATACGTAGTAGTAGTAGTAGTAGTAGTAGTCGTCGTAGTCGTAGTCGTAGTCGTAGTCGTAGTCGTAGTCGTAGTCGTAGTCGTTGTCGTTGTCGTAGTCGTAGTCGTAGTCGTAGTCGTAGTCGTAGTCGTAGTCGTAGTCGTAGTCGTAGTCTTAGTCGTAGTCGTAGTCGTAGTCGTAGTCGTAGTAGTAGTAGTCGTAGTAGTAGTCGTAGTAGTAGTAGTAGTAGTAGTAGTAGTCGTAGTCGTAGTCGTAGTCGTAGTCGTAGTCGTAGTCGTAGTCGTAGTAGTCGTAGTAGTAGTAGGAGTAGTAGTAGTAGTAGTAGTAGTAATAGTAGTAGTAGTAGTAGTAGTAGTAGTCGTAGTCGTAGTAGCAGTAGTAGTAGTCGTAGTCGTGTCGTAGTCGCAGTCGTTAGTCGTAGTGTAGTCGAGTCGTAGTCGTGTCGTAGTAGTAGTCGTAGTCGTAGTAGTAGTAGTAGTAGTAGTAGTAGTAGTAGTTCGTAGTAGTAGTAGTAGTCGTAGTAGTCGTAGTAGTCGTAGTAGTAGTAGTAGTCGTAGTAGTAGTCGTAGTAGTAGTAGTAGTAGTAGTCGTAGTAGTAGTAGTAGTAGTAGTAGTAGTAGTAGTAGTAGTAGTAGTAGTAGTAGTAGTAGTAGTAGTAGTAGTAGTAGTAGTAGTAGTAGTCGTAGTAGTAGTAGTAGTAGTAGTAGTAGTAGTAGTAGTAGTAGTAGTAGTAGTAGTAGTAGTAGTAGTAGTAGTAGTAGTAGTAGTAGTAGTAGTAGTAGTAGTAGTAGTAGTAGTAGTAGTAGTAGTAGTAGTAGTAGTAGTAGTAGTAGTAGTAGTAGTAGTAGTAGTAGTCGTAGTAGTAGTAGTAGTAGTAGTGGTAGTAGTAGTAGTAGTAGTAGTAGTAGTAGTAGTAGTAGTAGTAGTAGTAGTAGTAGTAGTAGTAGTAGTAGTAGTAGTAGTAGTAGTAGTAGTAGTAGTAGTAGTAGTAGTAGTAGTAGTAGTAGTAGTAGTAGTAGTAGTAGTAGTAGTAGTAGTAGTAGTAGTAGTAGTAGTAGTAGTAGTAGTAGTAGTAGTAGTAGTAGTAGTAGTAGTAGTAGTAGTAGTAGTAGTAGTAGTAGTAGTAGTACTGCTACTACTAGTAGTAGTGATAGCAGTAGCAGTAGTAGTAGTAGTAGTAGTAGTAGTCTTCGTCGTCGTCGTCGTCGTCGTCGTCGTCGTCGTCGCCGTTGTCGTCGTCGTCGTCGTCGTCGTCGTCGTCGTCGTCGCAGTCTCAATCGTAATCGCAGCCGTCGCCGTTGTTGTTGCACGGCGGATGCCGCGGAACGAATAATTAGGTACTCCCTATTGGTGAGGCCCCAGTCCTGCAATAAGTCCGCCGAGAATACACTGGTTCCCGCCTATTGGGGGGGTCTACAGACTTTTTGGGATTAGGGGTCCGATAACCCAGCCTGCTCAGGAGCGCGCGGAGTCGTTACTGGGTGTCTGTCTATCACTCGGTGATGTCTCGCCGATTCCACAGGAGTGGGCGGGACGACCCCCCCTCGACCCTGGATCGCCGATGCAGGGGCCCGATGGCCCAGCCCGCCCAGAATCGTGCGGAGTCGCTACCGTGGGCCAAGTTTCCGACCCATCGGCGGCCCCAGAGGTCTCGACCCACTCCCTGGAACCGGTCTTCCATCCTGGGCAGTTGTTTCACGCTTCCGAGGCCTGGCGGGGGCCTCCATGGTGACAAACCCTCTGGCGTGTTCTTTTCATGACCCGAAGGGGTCTGGGCCTCCAGGCCTGTTCGGGCTCCTCGTCGGCCAGAGCGGCTCGGGGGTGAGGGGGCCCGTCCTGGGGCAGGGACCCGGGGGTGTCCCAGTGCCTCGCGCGGCGCGCAGTGGTTGCACAGTGGAGACCCATGCCAAGAAACACCCTGGTTGCCTTCAGGGTGTCCTGGGTTTCTTGGGCTCCGATAGATTTTCGACGGGAAGCGCAGCTTTCCCACTCCAAGAGCCAATGGACGTCCTGGGGTCTCAGGGTTAGGGTTTCTTCTGGAAGGTTCCTTGTGGTCGGGCCCTTGCTGTACCACCTACTTTTTTGAAAGCGTGGGGCGAGCTCTAGGTGCGTGGCCTGTAGCAGCGCTCCTGCGAAGAAGCTCCGACTCAGCAGCGTGTCGCGCAAAGCAGGCTGACGGCGCATGCAGAGCAAAACGTGAAATAATATTAGAGTGGCCTTGATGGGCACATGATAACTCAGAATAACGTGTCCGTGAACGGAGGGAGATATGAGGGAAACACCATCACATCCACAACATGACACTGAGGTAGAATTCCGTAAGAGAGATGTCAAAGCATGCATGCAAGTAACAAGTGTTTGAGCATGCTGGTTGATTGCTCGGCGTGAGAATCCGAGTGGTATTATTATTGCGTGGGTCAGTACGGCAGTTGGACCGTCCTCCCCCGACAACCCTACATCCTCCCCCACCAGTAAAAATGCATCAAACAGGGTGATGTGGCAATGTGGGCTGGCTCGGGAGGTTGATAAGCCTTCCTATAACGCTAACAAGTAAATACAATAGCGACTGACGAAGATACTGGCTGGTTAGTTGTATGTTCCGCTGTTGTTAAATGGCAGGGCATTGTGCAAGGTTGCAGGTGGGGGCTGGCTCAGTCTATGCAGGCCAGCCTCTTGCAGACGTGGCTCTTTTGGACCGCCAGACCTGTCCTACCCTCAATTCCTCCGCATCCTCCTACACCACCTCCCTTCCCTCACGAAGCTTGAGAATTATTAGGGTATTGGGCTAAACGTAGGGCTTCGCAGAGCAGGGCGCAATGTCGTAATTGTATACTGGCATTTGGGTAGTTAGCTGCAAATGCTGTATGCTTGTGCTGTGCAGGGTAACCTGTGGTGTACTGCTAGTCGGGCCAACGTTGCAAGCGCTGTAAGTGTGCGTGGACAGACTTCAAACGGAATGGGGCGCTGCGGTGCAAGGGAACAACAGTGAAGCAGTAAATCGCCAAATTGTTGCAGCGCGTCGTATTCCCTGGCTGTCTCATGTTGCTGTTGGGTGCTGACGTGTTGCGGTGTGTCACCTGCTGGTTGTGAGTACATGTCCGCTGTTGGGCCTCACTTCAGTGTCTGATGCTGTGGAGCGTGTTGCGATGAGTCCCCCCGAGTAAACTACAGAGGGTGTGAGTGGTATGCACTGTGGTGAGGCAACTCGAACTGGTGATTCGTGCCTGTGCTCACGTTGCTGTTATTGTTCTCCTGGTGAGGTGTCGAGCATTTGCAGTGATATGCATGTGGTGATGTGCTGCGTAGTGGTGCCGTTGCCCACTGTGTTGTTGATGATGTCCTCCAGCTCCTGTTGTAGTCGTCGACCG